ACAATATATATTTAAAAAATATATGTATATAGTCTTAATAGCACAGTTTGGAACAAAACCACAAGAAGTTGTAAACATCTCCTTACCCTTCCTGAGCCCCTACTCTCACTCAGTACAAGGGTAGGGTGAGAGCTACCAGAGAACCCAGGATGGGGCTCTGGGGAATGGGCCTAAGTTCCAGAAGAGGCAGAATGGGACTGACAGGGAGAAGTCGTAGTTCTCACATTCTGCCTGGAAGCCTGCTTCTTTCTGAACCTCCTCTATAGGTGGCTTCTCCCCAACAAAACCTATCCTATTTTCTTCTGTCACCCTTGGGTGGTCACTGGACTCCTGAGGGAAAGGCAAGAGGCTTTAGGCTGCATTTTAAATAATAACTGCTTATCCAAACAAGGCTACAATAGTGGTCCACAAGTCAGACAAGGCTGCTTCTACTTGCCCTAGAATTCTACTTCCTAGAGTTGTATGTATGTCTCAGAGTAGCTGCCAACATTTACAGAGATTGTGAAGATTTTATCTAAAACTTCAGAATTGTGGTTTCTCTTATAAAATTGGCCATTTGGGCCATGCTAGATAGTGACAGTGGCTTAGACCTAAGTTGCTCCTGTCTCTGAAGACCCAGTACACGCTCTCTCTAACCCATCCACATGCCTGGGGCCCTCGTTTAGAATTGGGCACCTGAGTAGGTCGTCACTTCAGGATAGCTGGTGCGAAGGGAAGAGATGGGGTCTGGATACTGTCCCACCAACTGTCCCCTCCCCACTGGATCCTCTCAGAGTAAGAAACTGGGCACTAGAGAAAGGAGCTTAGGCTAGTGGAAACCTTGGGTTAAGGAGGGGACCAGAATGCTGGGAGGATGGAGAGCATCCAGAAAGGATCAGTAGTAAAAGACCTGGAAGGGGAAATTCTCAGAACAAAAGGATTGTGGTTGGTGGCATTCAGTGCCACTGAGAGATGAAAGAAAACAAAGAAGCAATTAAAGTAGGCAATCGGGAGGGTCCTGCTGGTTCCAGTGACTCCTACCTCATGGAGTAATAGGGTAGAAATGCAGAGGGCTCACCGAGGCCCGGTTCTTCCATGCCAGATCTTTCATTGTTTTTCACCAGAAGAAATGGGGCCAGAAAGGACAAATCACCTATCCACGGTGACAGAGTCTAGAGACCTATCTCCACCTTCCTCTTCTCTCACTAACTCCCATCCTATCCCTAATTCCAGGCTGCATTTTCCTATATTCTCTAAGTCACTTTCTTCTTAACCTAGGCTGCTACCTTGTCCAGGGCAGAGGCCAACGCCAGCCAGATCCATGGAAATGTCACCATGGAGAAATGTAAGTACCTGAACATGGTTAGGTGATCCTGCATCAGCAAGGCCACCTGGTATGGAAGCTGAAGGAGCCAGGGGGAGCTCTAGGCCCACAGTCCCAGAAGTGGCCAAGGAGAAGCTGAGTTTGGGGGTCAGCTCTCAGCAGCTCAATATTTACCCTACAGGGCTGGGGAGATAGCTCAGTGGAATAAGTGCTTGCCTGGGAAGAGCAAGATCCTGAGTTCAATCCCTGGTACCATCAAAACAAAAACAAAATCAGTGTTCACCCTACAGGCAGCCACATCTTTGTGGACACGGGGCTGCCTGACCTGGCCGTGGGGCTCATCCTGCTGGCTGGCTCCTTGGTACTCCTGTGTACCTGTCTCATCCTCCTTGTCAAGATGCTCAACTCCTTGCTCAAGGGCCAGGTGGCCAAGGTCATCCAGAAGGTCATCAATACTGGTAAGCCATGAGCAGTAGGTGAGAAAGCTACAGGGCTGGGGAGGCCCTTTTGGTCCTGTGAGGTCCTGCCACCGCCTAGATCTGGATAAACCCCTACCATCTATAAACCTCATTTCCCCATTAAACACAAAAGAGATTGGACGAGGCAATTCACAGGCTCCTTGATAGCTGGGGCTGCCTCTGGCTGTAGTTCCATCCTAGAAGGTGGAGATTCTCAGAGGCCATTGGTTAAATCAACAAATAGACATTAAGAGCCTACTGTATGCCAAGGGATATGAGGTAAGGCAAACAGAGATGGATCACAACACAGCAAGGGTGGAATGCCCCTTATTCCTGCATTTTCCAGGCAGCCTTTTCCAAGGCCAGGCAGTATGACAAAAGCTCAAAGTTTAAAATGGAATCAGCTGGTATCAGTCCTCTGTTGGGGGTTGTGAGGGATTCAATTGCTGTGAAAAGCAAATGAATGAAGATAAATTGAAGAAAGACCAAGATAACTGCCAAGAACAGAGTAAAAATGGCAAGAGAGAGAGAGAGAGAGAGAGAGAGAGAGAGAGAGAGAGAGAGAGAATAGAATAGGCCAGTGGTGGTGAACCTACAGCATGTGTGCTGTTTGCATCAGAGAAGGCTTTAAAAGCTCCCCACAACCAGCATGTACAGTGCACTTCAGGCCTCTCTGAGAAGAAGCATTTGAGCAGAGATCTAAATGAGGAGTCAAGATGTGGATGCAAATGTGTAGAACATAGTGGTAGAATGTTTGCTTGATACACAGGCCTGAATTCTGTTCCCAGCACTGAGGAATTTAGGGTTCAGGCAACAGCAGGAACAAAAACTAGGATGCAAGAAATGGCTTGATAGGTTTGTGGCACACGTGGTTGACCACAGAGTTATGGGAACACAGTCAGTGAAGACAGAGAGGCAGGAGAGGAGATGGGGATGGAGCGAGAGCACAGGGCCCCTGGAGCAACTCAGAGCCTGGACTTTAGGAAGGCAACGGGAGTAGTCAGGGGAGGACAGGACAGAGCAGAGGACTGACACCTGCTGATTCCATTTTAAACTTCACTTTGAGCTTTTGGAGTACTGCTTGGCCTTGGCAAAGGATATTGACAAATGCAGGAATAAGGGGCATTCATGGGGTTTGGTGCTCAGAGAAGGAAGAAAGAGAAGGTGGGGTGGCATGGGGCCAGGGAAGACTTTCCAGAAAAGAAGTGTTATCTGCATAGACTCTGCGGTGCTGTCTACACTGACATTCTGTATCTACAGGATCTAAATCTGCAGGTTCAATAGACCATGGTTCAAAAATACTTGGAAAACATTACATCTTTCCTGAATATATGCAAAGATTTTCTTGTCATTATTCCCTAAACAATGCAGCATAACAACTATTTACATAGCTTTTGCCTTGCTTTTGGTATTAGCAGAAATCTAGAGATGAGTTAAAGCACATGAGAGGATGTATGTGTGTTGTATGCAAATACTATGACATTTCATAGAAAAGACTGGAGCATCCACAGATTTTGGTATACTCAGGCATCTCCTGAGGATGCCCAGGAAGAACTGTGTTAAATGCTGAGTAGGATATTCCAAGTAATGGGAACAGCCAGGACAAAGGCAGGGTAGCAAGAAGACACCAAGCAAGAAAGATCTTTAATCTAAGATCAAAGAAGGGAAAATGGAAGCCACTGCAGTTGAGCAGGGGACTGGCTAGGTCCTAGCAGAACCTAGTATCTAAAAAACCTCCCAAGAAGGTGCTGCTGTCCCAGTGCCCTCCCACTGAGCCAGCCTGCTGGGCCTGGGTTTCCTTGCAGACCTCCCTGCACCCTTCACCTGGGTCACAGGCTACTTTGCCATGGTAGTGGGCGCTGGAATGACCTTCATTGTCCAGAGCAGTTCTGTGTTCACCTCGGCCATTACCCCACTCATTGGTGAGTGCTGAACAGAGGCGGGGTTGGGTGCAGGGAAGAGACCAAGAGGAACCTGAGGAGGACCATATCCTCTCCCTTGTCCACCAGGCCTGGGTGTGATCAGCATTGAACGAGCCTACCCCCTCACACTGGGCTCCAATATTGGTACCACCACTACAGCCATCCTGGCTGCACTGGCCAGTCCCAAGGAGAAGCTGTGCAGCTCCTTTCAGGTGCGTTGGGGAGAAGAGCCCCGCCTCAGCAGGATGAGGCTAGGACTGGGCACTGGGGCTGAGCACAGGGCCTGACCAAGTGTGTGATAACATGCAACTGTTGACTAAGTTTGACTGTCTACTAAGGCCACCTACTATGGGCTCAGTAGAAACCATTTTGGGCAAAGTTGACTTGGCTGCAGTACCAAAACTTTGTGGCTCACAGGGATACATTGCTCAATAATCACACAGATAAAGAATAAGTATCAAGTTGGATAAGACTGGGAGCTGGTTCACTCTGAAGAATCAGGAATGAGCAGAGCAGACTGGCCAGATAGTTCAGCAGACTAAAGTGCCGGCTTAGGCAGACACAGGGACCAGGGTTCGATCCCCAGTGTACTGTGCCGGCCCTGCCCCTAAGGCATACTGAGATGGCAATTGAGACTGGGTGTGGTGGCGCATGCCTGTAATCCCAGCACTTAGAAAGCTGAAAACAGGAGGATCACTATGAATCCAATCTGTGTAGTGAGACCCTGTAGACCCTGTACTAAATACAGAAAAGGAAAAAAAAAAGAGCAGATGGCCAGTGCCATAGCTCAGCAGCACAACACCTGCCTGGCACATGCAAGGTCCTGAGTTTGATTGCCAGTAAGGGGGGGGGGACAAACAAACAGAGAAAACCAGAATGAGCAGAGTTGGGAGGAAAGAGCAGATGTCAAAGGAAGGATTGTTCTTGAAACAAAGGAGCCACTAGCAAGATACAGCACTGACCAATTAAGAGCCCCAGAGCAGGTAAGCCAGAAGCTAGTATTAATCTTTTACCTGCTTGATTTTGGCAGTATCTGCTGGAGAGCTCCTGACAGTGTCAGTGCGGGAAATGTGGAGAGTTCAGGGCAGTGATTATTTACCAACTGATTTAGAGATATCTCAGTATTTTAACAATCAGGGCAGCTATGCTGGTGTGATCTGAGGACTCAAGAGCCCTAACTGGTGACTTCTCAGCTACCTAGATGAGGTCAGGCATTTATTATCTCTCCTACTGACCTGCTCGAGCAATTTCTGCTCACCTCCACCCCTCCCCTGCAGATTGCCCTCTGCCACTTCTTCTTCAACATCTCTGGCATCCTGCTGTGGTATCCACTGCCCTGCATGCGCTTGCCCATCCGCATGGCCAAGACACTGGGCAAACGCACGGCCAAGTACCGCTGGTTCGCTGTCCTCTACCTCCTTGTGTGCTTTCTTCTGCTGCCCTCGCTGGTGTTTGGCATCTCCATGGCAGGCTGGCAGGCCATGGTAGGTGTAGGTGCGCCCTTTGGAGCCCTGCTGGCCTTCGTGCTGCTAGTCAATATCCTACAGAATCGAAGTCCCGGACACCTGCCCAAGTGGTTGCAGACATGGGACTTTCTGCCCCGCTGGATGCATTCTCTGAAGCCCCTGGACCACCTCATCACCCGTGCCACCTTATGCTATGCCAGGCCTGAGCCCCGCTCACCCCAATTGCCTGCAAGGGTCTTCCTGGAAGAGCTGCCCCCCGCCACGCCTTCCCCCCGCCTTGCACTACCTACTCACCACAATGCCACCCGCCTCTAGGCTGTAGACCCAGAGAACTGCCTGGAGATGGCACAGAGTCCTGGATGGATGGGGAGGGGTTATGTGTGGGCCCTTGTGAGTGCATGGCTCCCTGGTATGCATGTGTCTGTCACTCTTGGATGCCTATCTTTATGCAAATCCATAGAGGTATTGGCTCGTGTGACTGAGAGGCAATATGCAAGTGAGGAGGTTTAGGGCTGTATCTGTGTGCCTACCAGTGTAGGCATAGAAGCCAGTATTTGTGTACACATGTGTATCAGCCCATGCATATGTACACATGTACCTGTGGGAGGCCATGTACAGTTTGCAGGGGATGTGGATGTGATTTCAAGTCCTTTGCCATATTTGGAGAGTTGCATTTATTATGTCTTTGTGTACTCAAGACTATACCAGGCAGGATGGCTCTGACTAGGTGACTGCATAGCTGTCTGCCTATGCATCCATATGGGTGCCAGAGACACTGACTGAGTTACACCCCTACCTGCCTTCCTTCCTCCGTGAAGCCAGTCTCACCCTTAATCAGGGCTCAGTGCCACCACTGCAATCCTTTCCCAGCCTTGCACAATGAATAAAAGGCATTTAAAACTCTCATCCACTTGGAAGTCTTTTTGGCTCTGCATCTATGGGAGGGAAGGTAAATTCAAAGCATGGGGTTCAGCAACACCATCTCACCTCAAAGGCTCCGTGCAATGGCAGCCATAGCCCTTCAAGGCCTTCAGCCCAGCGCTTTACCCCTTCATGAACTCAACCTACAGTTTAAACTCCCTGGAAGCCTGGAAGGTAGAGCCTGGGACACTCTCAAGGTAAGTGTAAGTGAGACTCTCTGCCTCTCTGTGCCCTGACCCCCAGCAGGCTGTGCTTCCACTGAACCCACCTACCTCAGTCACACTCACTCCTGCTGACTGGGCTAAGATCTGTGCTTCAGAATGAGTAACACATGGGGGCTTGTCAGGGACACTGGAGGAGGAAACAGGGAAGGTGGAGACAGGCAAGAGGGGCAGGGACCAGACACTCTCCCACCTTTGTTCTCATTGAGCAATCAACAAGGACTCACTTAAACCTATCCAAGCTTTTCAGTTCTTCCTTTTCCACAGGGCACTCTGAGGCTGAGGCCTACAGAGTGAGGGTCAAGGGGTAGGGACACCAAACTTCACCCCTCCTGTCCAGGGACTCCTCTGGGGTCTTTAGGCCCCAAAAGGAAAGGGAGACTGTAGGACCCCAGACCCAGCTTCACTGCATGTAGACATGCTTCTCCTTGAGGCTCTCCCTTGAGGCATGGGGAAGATACAGGTGCCTGGGAGCCCGAAGAACTGCTCTCTACATGACTGGTGCCATCCTCTCGCCACTCACATCCCATACCAGTGCCACTAAGTGGAAGGGGCAGGAGTATAGCTAACCCTGTATCTAAGGGTTCCAATTCTGCTGATTCCACCAATGGTAGTCAAAATGACTTTAAATGCACAAAACTCCCTGCTATTTTATACAGGGGTTTTAGTATACTGAGGATCCTGGAATCAATCCACAATGGTACCGGGGGAGGGTTGTACACTGACTCCACACCCTAGTTGGAGTGTGCCTGCAGAGAGATGCTGGCAGAATGAGAATGGCCTCCTTCCACTGTCCTGCTTAGGTGCCTGGGAATTTCTATACAGGCTGCTAAGGCCCGAGGTAGAGTTTGAAAAGCCTCCCACCTTTTAGTTCTTCCTTAGCTGAGGGGAGGAGTTCCCCTAGAATCCCAGGGAAGCACTAAGAAGCAGCAATCAGACCAGAGGCCTCCCTGCAAGCATCCATAGATGGGGATTGCTCAGCAGACTCTAGATTTAGAATCCCAGCCCACCAGGAACACTCTCCTGCAAGGATCTTCCCATAAATCCGTTTCCTGATTTGCCAATTCCCCACGCTCAATCATCAGAGGATGAGCCCAGGACGCCCAGTTCACAGTTTATTCTGGTCTCGCTGCCACCGTGGGTGGCCTGGCTGTCACGCTATATGCCCTCCTTGCACAGCCCGCAGATCAGCTCGTGCATCTTTTTATTGAGCATGCCCCCGTGCACGCCGCGCCGACCCATGAGCACGAGGAGCGCGCGCGGCGTGTGGCCGACACAGATGGCGCGCCCGTCGGGGCCCTTTGTGCGCGCGTCCAGCGCGCCATCGCCCTCCGCCAGTAGGTAGTCGCGGATGACACAGCAGCGGCGGCCTGCCAAGCTCAGCCCCGTCTGCAGGAAGGTGTGCCGGTCGGGACCCGTGAGCACACCCACCTCCTGCGGCGAGATGGCAGCCAGTAGGCCCCCTGGCCGCGATGCCCACACGCAGCGATTGTCGGAGTGGCCCACGATGGCCACGTCGTCGATGCGCTGGTCCCGCAGCACCGCGCTGATGAAGCTCTTCCAGTCGCCCATCTCCGAGTGCACTCCTCGGCCTTCTGCTGGGAGGGAAGTCCCGCTGCTAGGCCAACTAGGAACGCCGGGGACACTGTGATGTAAGCGGGGGCGCGGTTGTGACTAGACATGGTGTTGCCACTGAACTGTTACTTAGGCTGGAGAAGGGTGAGGGGCGATAATGTTTTATGCGTGGGAAATTCTAAAGTTAGCATACAGGAAGGAATTGAGGACCACTCAAAAGTACTCTGGAAAACCGGTTTAAATGGCTCAATAAAAAGATGGGGTTTGGGGCATGCCTGTACTCCCAACATTCAGAAGGCTGAGGCAAGAGAATCACTGTGAGTTCCAGGCCAGCCTAGGATACATAGTGAGTTCAAGGCTGATATGAACTACATAGCCAGACCCTATCTTTAAAAAAAAAAAAAAAAAAGATGGGGCCCCCAGGTGCGGTGGTACACATGCCTGTAGTCGTAACACTCAGGAGGCTGAGGCAGGAGGATCACTGTGAGTTCAGTGCCAGTTCAGATCTTATCTCCAGAGCAAAACAAAACCCCATATGGCATTAAGACACTCATGGTGGTTCACACCTGCAATCTCAGTGCTGTAAGAGGTTGAGGATCACCAGTTTTACCCTAGCTCAGGCAATTTAATGAATTCCTATCTCAGAATAAAAAGGGCTGGGCATATAGCTCAGTGCAAAAGGCCCTAGGTTCAATCCCCAGTATTTTTTTTAAATATTTATTTATTTATTTAGTGTGTGTGTGGCCAGCTCAGCCCACCAGGGGGGAGGGGCTGGCTGGCATGTGGTGCTGGGGGATTGAACCGGGGTCCCTGTGTTTTGCTTAGTTTAGCTTGTTCTAAGTAGGTGCTTTAGACCACTGAGCCATCTCACCAGCCCAATCCCCAGTATTGAAGAGGAAAAAAAAAAAAAGTTTAAGAACAAGGACTAATCAATAAAATTTTGGAAAAAAAAAAAAAAAAAAAGAACAAGGACTAAAAAGATGCCTCGTCTGGACAGAGGGACTTGTCAGCCTGTAAGAGAAAACCATTCAACCTCCAGATGGTGGCTCTAAGCCTCAGCCTCAGAATGTTCTGGGAGGCTGTTGGATTGATTGCTGGGTCCTGACTTGGAGTTTCTACTTCAGTAGCCTACAATGGAGCCTAAAAATTTGCGTGTCTGACAAGTTTTGGGGGACTCTGAGGTCCAGTGTAAGACTGAGTGTAGATGGGAGTGTTTAATGTTCCCAGCACTCAGGTGCACACTACCGTTTGAATGTTAAGCATTTTTAACTATGGTGCTCAGCCTTGGCTGCACACAGAACCAGTGGGGAAGCTTTAAAAACACCATTATTCATACCCCATCGCTAGAGAGATACTGATTTAATTTCTCTCAAGTGCATCTTGGACATAGGTAGACCCAAAACCTTTCCAGGGCTGAGGGGTGTGAGTTAGTGGAACTGGGCCTGTGAAGGGGTAGTGCTCCCCAGGGGATTGCGATGCACAGCCAAGACAGAGCGCCCACTCTTAGCAGGTTTAGTTCCTTATGAGGACTACTTTCCAGAGCCACCCTGCACAGGTGTGGTGTGCAGTAAGGCCCACTAAATGTTACCTGTACTGCAGTTCAAAACTCTCAGGCCGATATCTCACACTTTCTGTTCTGTGAGGGCAGTGTGAGAGCCACACACCAGTTTTCTCTCTTGGCATTTCCTAAGAAGTATTTGCAAAGCACTTTATTGAGTTCCCCGACCCCTGCATGTGGCTAGTGATACTGGGAGGAACAGGACACAATCTTTGCTACCTAGGATCATGCCCCAGACATCTTCACCAGCTGGAATCGCCCAGGAGGGAAAAACCAGTCCTCTGGCAATCAGGAAGCTGTGTGATTCTGGATCCAAGTCAGGTATTGGGCCACATCAGTATAGACACCGGGCTTGTTGCGATCACCACAGCCTGAGCCCCAGCTGATGATGCCTCGAAGGGTGAGTCGGTTTTCTGCTGCTTCATCCTCACACACCAGAGGGCCCCCTGAGTCACCCTGGGTTGGGAATACGCAGCTGAGCCCCTTGCCCTGATCCCAACGAGCTTGGGGGAGGCACTAACCAGGCCCCAGGGCTCACCTGGCACGCGTCTGTGCCGCCCTCAAGGAAGCCGGCGCACAGCATCCCAGGAAGAATGGCGTCTCCATGCACTTCGCGGGTGGAGCAGCGCTCCAAGGAGATGAAGGGCACCTGTGCCTCCTGCAGGAAGGTGGAATATTCCTCCGCTCCTGCAAACCCAGAGAGCCTTCCTCACACCAGTGCAGACAGCACGGACGCTTCTATGATCACCCACTCATTGTCTTTCTCCTTCACACCAAGCCAGAGAGGGAGAGAGTTGCCGGTTAACTCCACATCCTTGGGCAACGGAAGAGGCTCACAGAGGAGTCCGGTTTGAATGGGCGGGGCCGAAGCAGAAAGCCCATCCCTGTCTCCTTTGCAGTGTCTCAGAACCTGGCTCACATAGTGCAGCAGTACACTCGCTGTTTGAGCAGCGTGCGGGTGGCCACTGCAGCCGGATGCCCAGAGGGATCCAGGAGAAAGGATGGTCTCCTTGTACCGCCAGGAGATCTGGCCACCCCAACAGTGTATCCCAGACTGGGAACAACGACTACAGGCAAGGCCGTTGAGCGCCACCTCTCCTGTAGGTACCCTGGCCAATACCAAAATTGAGGGCTTCTCCAGTCTACTTTGGTTTCCCGAGGTCCCAGACTGCCCCCAGTTGTTGTGCATACCCTCGAACTGGTGGCCCCAGCCAGCCACCTCACAGAGCGCATCCTCGGATTCGGAGGGTGGGGCGGCGGCGTTGGGCAGGCACACCGGCTGCACATGAGGCGACAGTTGTGCGCAGCTGCCATCCGAGCTTTCTTGCAGGCGCAGCAGAGCTAGCCCGGGCGGGGAAGAGCGTTAGGCGGGAACGCTGGAGCCCGGGGCCTCCCCGTCTTTTCTCTCCCTGCGGGGGCGCCTGCACACACCCAGGTCGTGCTGATAGGTGATGGGTGAGAAGGCTTCGTGGAGGCGGTAGGAGCGCACAGCCAGTGTCTGGCAGTGCTCACAGCTCTGATTGTGGCGGTCCTGACCGAGCACCACCGTCAGCTCCTCGGGCGCTGGACTGTGGGACGGGTGCAAAAGAAGCAGCGCTCTCAGAGCGGGCCGCTGGCATTTTGGGGGAACTCCCTGGTTCGAGCTTTCCCCCAGATTTTCAGATGCTTTCTGGAGGGCTTCGGAGGGGCAGGGGCAGGGGCAGGGGAGGGCTAGGGTATGGCTTCAGATGTGGGCGGGGGGCGAAGCTAGGCTCAGGACAGACGAGCTGGCGAGGGTTCTGGAGGTACTCGCCGGTTCTGCAGGCAGTGGGCCGCAGTCAGCACCCAGCAGGAGGCGATGAGGCTGCCGGAGCAGAAATTGTGGCCCCAGTACACCGCAGCGATGTAGGGGTGCGCCCCAGGCAGCGCCACTAGTCCGCCAACGATACGCCTCAGAGAGGACAACCGCTTCCGGAGCCGCTGTCCGCAGAGGACCTGGCCAGTCCCGGGCATTTCACGCTCCAAGGCTATGGGAGAAGGTCAGGGCGACCTGTGCCCAGAATCGAGCTGGTCCTGCTCCCTCTGCTGGGACGTCCCCCTCTCCGCAACTACCTGGGTTCTGGGTCGTGGGCTGAGGCATCTGCAATACTGAAAGCCCGGGTCTGGGCAACTCCTGACGTTCAAGGGGAACACGGGGTGTAGATGCTGGCTGAGGTGGGCGCTGGCACTGTGGCAGGTCACAATACTCCCAGCTCAGCCGGTTGCCCATCCAGACAAAGCACCACGGGCGGGTGTCATTATCCGGGTTCCTGTAACCTCAAGAGGGGGCGCTGTTAGAGGCTGGGGAGCTCCTGAAGCCCTTGGGGGATGGGGTTGCCCTGCTCCGCCCCACCCGATGCACCGGCAGAAAGCGTGGTGGCCCAGTCCCTTGTTCAGCGCTTGCTCTGCAGTGATGTTCCGGTAGGTGGCCTCCGAGGCCCACCGCTGACACTGGGCGCCAGAGATCGTGGTCCTGGCCTGGCCGCGGTAACCGAGACCCCGGCCTTCATAGCAGTTCGCTTCCTTGTCTGGGAAGAAAGGTGGCTCCCTTCTGCTAGGGGTAGTGCTCCGACCCCTTCCTCGAACCCACTTTCCCACTCTCCCTTGTCTCTGGGGAAACCCTTCCTATGTGAAGCCTGGCCTCTGCTTGGCTGGGACCATCACTCACCAATGTCACAGAAGGGTCCAGTATAGCCCATCGGGCAGTGGCACAGGTGGTGACCCTCCACCTCGAGGCAGCGTCCCTCATTGAGGCATGGATTGGTGCGGCATTCTGGGGAAAAGGGCAAATGCAGCTTTTTCCAAAGGCTTCTCTTGACTTTTAGCCCTCCTTTTTGGCCAGCTTCCAACAGGTCCACTTACCCCTGCTGGCTATTGGCTTGCAGTGAGCATCAGGACCCTTGCAGTGGCATCTGACCACACCAGCTGGTGCATTTCTAAGCCATATTTCATTCTCATGGAAGAATTGGAGAAACTGAGGCTCAAAGCATTTCTCTGAGAATAAAGTGGGGGGAGCTGCCTCTAGAGTGGCTGGGACCAGGCAGAGCCACACAGAGGAATCTCTTCAGTAGGTCTGGGAAGCCCCTGTTCCTCAGTATCCCCTCACCCTGGCAAGCAACACCTCAGTACCTCTCTGGCAGTGCTTCCCAGTGAGGTGTTCAGGACAGAGGCAGTGGGGCCTGTTCGGTGTGTTCACACAGATCCCTCCTTTCTGGCAGGGGTTGTGTTTGCTGCAGTGGTCTAGAGGTGGGAACCAGGAGGAAGCAGGTTGAGCCTGAGTCACACAGATAAGGGCCAAGTCCCTACCTGAGCCTCCTTGTCATGGGACTTAGACCAAGTTGCCATGTCTTAGTTTACTCATCCAGAAAACTAGGTTATCTCTTTTCAGAATCCTTCCTTGCCTTTTAAAGAGTATTGTGAAGAGGGAAAAGGGTCTGGGCCCAGATTCCAGATGTATGAGGTCTGATGATACCAGAAACAGAACTGGGGGCAGAGGGCCCTGGGCCACACTGGATGCTGTAGGGGCATACCTTTTACTTTCCCAGGCTCCAGGCAGTATGCCCATTGCTGGTCCTGATCAAAGTTGGGAGTGGTGGCACACCTGTAGAAACAGAGAAAGCTTCCTTGCTCTGCCCAGGGGCTGGCCCGCCCTCCCCTCCCACAGCCCCTTTGTAGGAGCAGGGTGCCCTGGACGGAAGGAAGGCAGAGTCCATGGCTCCCAGGCCCCCCTTCAACTCTCTCACCAGGGCCGGGGGCCAGGTCGGCCCTTGTGGATACATGTATGGTACAGCTGCCGGTGGTACTGGAAAGGGAAGTGGCAGGGCTCTCCAGTGACAGTAAGACCTGTGGAATAACACAATTCTTGAGGACTTCCCCTGTACCCCATTGCCCATCCCTGCCTCAATGATTAGAACAAAGATAAACCCTCTAAGAGGTGTGCTCAAGAAGCATCATCTTGCTGAAGTAGATGGACATGATGGTACACCCGGTAATCTCAGCACTTGGGAGGCTGAGGCAGGAGGATCACTACCAGCCTGAGCTAAAAAATAAATAAATAAAT